TAACTAACTGGGCATTCAGCCTTCAGAAAATAAATAAATATGAGCAAAATAAAACCAAATCATAGATTGTTTCTAGTCAGGAAGAAAGATCAAACTGCCATGACTTCATGAGTTTGGCCCCACTTTTCGTTATTGCCAAAAGAATTTAAACCTCTGCCAATATTTAGCTCTTTAGGTATATTCATGACTAAGAAGAAAGACATCCTATTCATGGAAATAGCAGAATCTTAGCTGTGACAGTGATAGGAAAGCTTATTTTAGTAGGCAATACTAAGAATTATCTCTAAATAAAAGTGTGTATATGTATATAGCTGGATGTGTGTGTGTGCGTGTGCATGCATGAAACTGATAGAAGTGAGTATTTACTTTCATTGTTCTATAAAAATTCAGTGCAGAAAAACTTAAATATTTACATACTTTTTAGATTTAAAGATTATTTAGCTCCTCATGTGCAATCAGAATGTGTTAACAAAAATAGGTGCAAAGACATTATCTCAGACTTAATTTGTCTCATATGCTTGAAAAATCCTGGGTGGAAAGTCTTTCTCTCTCTTATAGATAAGCCAACAATCAAAGGATATTTTCAACTACAGGTTGTAGGTGACATTTAGTAGTTTAAAGTTAGACGATATATATGTAACCTCAGTATATTAAACCTCAGTATATTAAAAACCATTCTATGGTTCCCAGAATCTATCCCATAAAATGACAATGGAAGGTTTTCTCTGAATATAACATTTAAAAGTAAGAGACGGGGGGAAATTCTCCATGTGATCTCACAGAACAGGAAGGGAGGTAATCAGAATTGTTCTCTAGGAAGATTAGCCTTTACAGAAGTGGGAAAATTGCTTCCAGAAGATCTGCATTAACAGGAGTTTTCTGGGAATGAGGGCGACATTTGTTTCCCAGCTGTTGGAGTTCCACTGCACGGGCAGCCAAGTATGACCAGCTAGATGGCTCTGAGATGTTCAATAGCTGCTGCTGCTTATGCTGATTCTGCTGCAGTTTGGGCCAAATTTGCACAATAAGGTGGAAATCAGTAGTAAAATAGAATTGGACATAAAGAAATTCACAGTGTCAGCTTTAACTGATTATATAGAAACCATAAAAATTGTGTAATGTATCTATAATTTCCTGTAAACTGCCATGCCAGCTCTGAACTGCTAGTGACTTCTCAGTTTAAAATCTGTAGACACAAATGATTTTCAGTTAACATCCTATGGAATTAATACTTGTTTTGGTTGATAATTGGCTGCTGGCCTGATTCCCTGAGAGTCCCCCTGCTGTGTGGCCACCAATCGCCACTTTTCACCTAGGACCCTTGGACCACTCCTTATCCATAACCAAAGAGAGATCATTTGGCAAAAGGAGTGCCAAGTCTGGCTATTGTCCGAGGCCTGGACCGTATTAGTTGTTCATTATTTTAAATATAATCCCTATTCATTGATCTTTTAAATTATTATTTCTCTATAAACTAACATAGTGATGCTGGTAATTTCCACATGATACTTAAAGCTCTCGTGCATTTGCATAGAAGTGCTATCTTAATTTCATAAATGAATAAATTCTCATCACTGTTTTTATATCCTCACCATGAATAAATCTGTGTTGCATTTATTTTTTAATATATGAAAAATAATGAGCCACATCCCCTAAATGTGTGCTGGCTTTCTTAGATATAAATACTTTTTACTCATTAAAACATCTGGTTATTTTGTCTTATTTTTAAAAATTTGACGTCTTTTTGACATTTTGCAAAGCAATCTTGTTGGACAAATTTAACATTTCAAAAAATGCTGGGATGAAATCCAAGGCTGAAAGTTCTTGGGTTGAAAAGTTGAACAAGTTGAAAACTCAAGGGGATGTAGTTAAGATATGTTTTGAGACTTAGAAATATGTAAAAAATGTAGTAGATAAAAATGCAAACAGAGCTTGCTTCCAAAATACAGACATATAAATATAGGCTAAATGGCATTGTCAGAGTTTTACTAGGAACAACCATTTTAAGCAATGAAATCATCACAAAACATAATAATATATTAGCGGAAATTTAAAAAATAATATATTAATTTTATTAGAGTCAACCTTTGGGACTTCCATGATCATCTCTCCAAGATTATTTATTTTTACACTGATTTGTCCTGTTTAAATCTCTTTAACTCATTTCCCGTGGTTGTTCGCATTAACTTGTTATGTTTTTTTGGCAATTAGTTTGGGCAGTCTGTTAATTTGTTTATATTTTTCAGTGTGTTGTTCCTGAATCCAGATCACAATTAATGAGACAGAGGGGATAACTGACTGGCTTGCAGTGCTGGAACCACTATTTCATTAGTTGGCTGTTCTCAGCTTGTGTCAAGACATTGAATGCCTCTCACTTAAACGCTGTTGTGAGGTTAATGACCTTCTGCTGACTTCTGCTCCCTCCTGCCTCTGAGTGGCTCATAGATCATTTGTTAATTGCTGATTGTGGGGGGAATGGATGTGATACATTGGCTCAGTGTGATGTGCTGTAATTGAGCACAGGGCTTGAATGCTTTATTCTTATTTGTCAGTTGTTTGAGTACAATAGCCTCTGAGTGGCTCATAGATCATTTGTTAATTGCTGATTGTGGGGGGAATGGATGTGATACACTGGCTCAGTGTGATGTGCTGTAATTGAGCACAGGGCTTGAATGCTTTATTCTTATTTGTCAGTTGTTTGAGTACAAGAGCAAATCCCTAACTCCCCACCACTGATAACTTTTCTTGATAGGCTACAGCATTAGATACATACTAGAAAAGACCTTCATTCCTAACAAGAATAATATAATTATTATTGAGCAGATGAATCATAAGAAAGTAGCAAAACTATGTCTTATTTTTTTTAGCCTAAAGTAATTTGACTTAATTCTACATAAAATACTTGATTGTTCTGTTTTCTAAGTTCGAACCTCAGCTAGAACAGAGAGAGACTAAGAGAGAAGTGGAGAATATGGATAGCAGTTTGTGGATAAGGAATAGCACCAGAACCATGACAGTTTTTAAAGTTGACAGCAGAGATCAGAGATGAATAAAAGAAGCAGCTAATGAAAACCCAAACAAGATATCATGACCATTCTGAACATTGACTCTGTAATCTTGGCAGACATGCGTGGTGGTGAAAGGGGGCTGGTGTAAACAGTAGGATAATAGGCGTTCCACTGCTGGTAGAGTTAGCAGAATCCTATACACGGTCATATCCCTACTATAAATATGGCTTTGTTATCACGTAATATGATTGCGATTATTTGTAGTTATGTCACTAAGTAATTAGGAAAGTTCATTCTGTTTAATATGTAGGAGTATGTGAAATTCAATTTTGAGAGATTTTTATCCAACTCTTTTTGCCTATGTATTTAAGAGCTCACAGAGGATGTTGTTAGAGCAGAAGTAAATTTGAGATGTCACAACAATGAGGTTTGATGAAATGGTGATATTGCATTAAGAGGCCTCAAGAATTATCTTGAACTTTGTCATTCTGGCTAATATCTTGAAACAAATTTATTTTCAGTATACATAGTGACTTTTAAAGTCAATAAATGTCAGGATAGGTGGTTAAACTGAGTGCTGTAACTTAAAAAACCTTCAAAATACAAGTATAAAATAAAAATTACATTTTAAATTTCCTTTCTAAATTCTGAATAGTCTACTTTTTTTCATATATTCATATATTTCAGACATTTGGTTGATTTCAATCTTTATTCCTAGATAACTAGGCAATAAAACCACCAGTAGTTAAGATTAACTGTAGAGAAAGGTGAATTTGAATTCAAATTTAATGAAATTCTGAATTAGGGAAGGTATAGAAAATGCAATGCTATTACTTTCCAACTCATAAAGGAACTAACTTTAACTAGTATAATAGGGCAATTTTTAGGTTAAATTTGAAGATGTCATTGTTATTTAGTATGTGTTTAATATATAAATAGAGCCTGTAAAGCTGATGAATAAATATTTATCACCTTATGAGTTTTGGGCTAATCATTTAACTGCCTTTTAAAGAAAAGTTTGTCAAAACTTTAGCCTACCCTGATCTCCATCCAAATTTTCAGATATTGACTATAATTAGCCATTGATGAGATTGTACTAGATCCTTTATTTCATGATGTATTTGTTCCAACTGTTTTCTAAGCCAACATATTTTGTTTTGTTTCAAATTTAAAATGCATTTCTTTCTCTTTTCTTTCTTTCTTTTTTTTTTTAGTACTTAATTCTCTAAGTTCAAATTTGGGAGTTTTTATTTGGAATTTATGACTTACCCAAGATGTTTCTGTAAAATGAGAGAAGACATTGGGTTTGGAGGTCACACACTATTTGTCTGATAAAAAACAAAAAACACTCAAAGAATTGATAATGAGATTTTTTCAGATAGTGAGTACTCTAAAAGTCTATCCTGCTCCTGCCATTACTGATATAATATTATATTAACTCATTGTTTATTACATTTACTTTCATCCTCACTTCTATTAACTTTCGATTTTAATGGATTTTCTCTCAGATATACACAATAAAAACAAATATTTACATCTTAAATTTTCCACTTTTCATTTTCTACAGAACGTCTTATGTAGAAGTGTTTTGCTTTAATTGTATTTAATGAATAATTTCCTTTATGAGTTATTATTTTTCTTTTATAACTTTGACCTTTTAGCTTGCTTTACCATATATACTTGAAATTCCTTTGGCTGTTTTTGCTCGCTATGATAATCAGTTTATAAAATATAAATCAGAAGAATTATGAATTCCCTCCACAAACATTTTGTTGAAGTACTGTGTTTAAAAGTTTATGTTTCAAGTTTATTAGGGAAGAAATTTGCTTTTGCCAGATTTAAAGTAAAAGGCTAGAAAATAAACTTTCCATGATTCAATGGGAAAAGCATTGTTGGTAGTGTTTCCTGTTTTGATTTATTCTTTAATCTTGATTCTTAGTAGTGTGATGAATATAGTTCCTATCATCAAAATATGGGCATCCTTTTTTTCAGGCCAGAAGTTGTGTTTTGCTGACTTCAAGCATCTCTGCTACAAAATGGCCTACTTCCACGACCTGTCCAGCCGAGTGAGCTTTCAGGAGGCACGCCTGGCTTGTGAGAGTGAGGCAGGAGTCCTCCTCAGCCTTGAGAATGAGGCAGAGCAGAAGTTAATAGAGAGTATGTTGCAAAACCTGACTAAGCCTGGAACAGGGATTTCTGATGGTGATTTCTGGATAGGGCTTTGGAGAAATGGAGATGGGCACACATCCGGTGCCTGCCCGGATCTCTACCAGTGGTCTGATGGGAGCAGTTCCCAGTACCGGTAAGGATGGATCCTGAGGAGCCCACTGGTGCTCTGGGGGGCTTGTGGATGTCAGAATAGAAGGCAGAATCACTCAGAAGGCATGGATCTAAGTGTTCCTGTTGCTTTCTGTTTGCAGCAACTGGTACACAGATGAACCTTCCTGTGGCAGTGAAAAGTGTGTGGTGATGTATCATCAACCAACTGCCAATCCTGGCCTTGGCGGTCCCTACCTTTACCAATGGAATGATGACAGGTGCAACATGAAGCACAATTATATCTGCAAGTACGAACCAGGTAAGAAGTATGGTAAGTAGGCAGAGAAGATTTTGTGCATATTTTGCTGATGCTAGGTTTTGTCTTTAAGTGTTGCTACCTTTTGCTCTTTTTGTTTTTCTGCTGTGAAATAAGGAATTACCTTGCAGCTTGTCATATCACTCAGGGTACTGATGCACATTGTGTGCTGTACAGCAGACTGCCCAATGAGCTCAATAGAAGGGGATAAATAGAAACATCTGGAGAGGTGTCTTTAAAAGAAAATAATTATTTCTAATATTCAGACCAAACTGTGTTTTTGTAAGCAGATCTTATGAACAGTAAATATCTATTTTAAAATATTTTAAACATTTAGTATAGTGAGTGGGAAGTAGGTGTAAGTCACTAAAACACCTGTAGACTTACACATGTGAGCAACAGTGCTTTAGAAGATTATCCATTGAACTTTAGCAAACAGAGCAACTATCTCCCGGCACATTAACTTACCATTTTATGGCATAATGTTTGGCATGTGGTGCTCAGTGAAAATGAAGCTGTTCATAGCTCATCGCAACATAGTGAAAAAAAGTAGGGACATGTAACATGTTCTCCTTGTGATTTCCATTCTTTAAAATATGCCTCCTTAGTTAGCTTTCTTTCACAATCTCCAACTTCTTGCCTCATGCAGCAAATGGGAAGACTGCATTGACCTGAGATGTACAAGTTGGGTTTCCTGTTGACAATACTAAATTTGTATGACTTTGAATAGAACAGTTCAACTAAATTGACATGTGACTAAAAGAGGCACTCATTAAAACTTTGTAAATTCATATTCTTTTAATCATCTGGGAAAGTAAAATTAAATACTTAGGCGCTCAGATTATTTTGCTGTTTTCTCTTCCTCAGTGTTTAGAAGTATCATTTTAATTCTTCTAAAGGGCTGTCTGCTTGACCTCAGAATACATGTTCACAGAAGGCAGTTATAATCAAGTACTGCTGTTTCCATTATTCTCTTGAAATTACACGATTCCTTTTCTCATAAGACCATAAAGCACAAGGGATTATTTGGATTAGACTTACCCTTCTCTTATATTTATCCTGCTCTTGAGTATATTAGCCAACTTTTTATATCCCTGGTGAGTTTATTCTTTACCCCCCTTGGTTGCTAAATCCATCATTACCCTCCTGGAAGCCTTTACAAAGTCTGTTATGCATTTATGTTCTTTTTCTTTACTTTTCTCTTGGAAAAATATAAAGTTGAGACTCTCTGATATTTGAAATTTGTGATGCTTGGTTTACTTAAAACTATCGAATGGTACAAAAAATATACTATGGAGTATTTTTAAAAGAATATTGCTCTCCTTTGTTTTGAGTTCTTAGATCAACTATTTGACCCTTCATTTTATTTTATTTTATTTTATTACATTAAAACTTACCCCACTTAGGATACTATCAACCTTACAGTCTTCTTTATTTGTTTTGTATCAGGTAATCTAGGTTTATGTTACTCATGAAAGAACATTTAAGATATAAAAATTATTTTCTTTATCTTCTACATTCTACCCAAATATTTAAATGATCTATATTTATTAAAATATGATTTTATATATTTATTATTTTTGAAGCACATGCAGAGGTTTAGAGTTGGCCTTGTTAATGTGCTCAGGATTTTTATTCTTTATTTTACTTTTTAATTTTTTTTGTCTTTATTTCCTATTTAGCTAAACTTACTTGAGCTTAGTGTCTTCTTTGTAAAGGATGTTGATTTGATTGAATTTCCTGCTCATGTAATCAGTGCTTGATTTTTTAGTGGTGAGGAGATTAGAGGACTAAGGAGTGTAACTAATTGCAATTTACAAATTATAATTATTATTTTGAACTTTATTCTTCAACTTTACTACAACTACTATGTGATTTGAACTTTATCTCATCTTTCTGCTTCTACACACCATCTAACAGCATGACTAATGATATCCGAAGTGGTAAAATATTAACCTGGCTGTGCAGAAACTGAATTTTTGAACTTTATCTCATCTTTCTGCTTCTACACACCATCTAACAGCATGACTAATGATATCCAAAGTGGTAAAATATTAACCTGGCTGTGCAGAAACTGAATAATTCACTTTTAAGCTTTCTTATTCTCCTTCCTCCCTTTTTTGTTATTGGCCTGCGCATTGCATATCTAGTCTTTGTGTCTACCAATGTCATCCAAAGACATTTTCATGGGAGTACTTTGAATCTCATTTTTGTATTAGAATTGCCTTACATTCCTGTTCTTAGATATTAAAAATTTTATGTTTGGCATTATGTTTCTAAAAATTTTTTAATCAGCAATTGCTGATTTAAACTAATTTGAAGTATGTTAAAAATTATTTAAAAAATAGCCAGTTCTATGTTGATAAATTGCATAATATCTGTATCATTTGTTTAGTAAATACCAGTTGACACCTATGGTAACAGAGTGACTAAGTTCTTTAGAAGAGTGAATGTAGGTTAGGAGTGAGTCTGAAACCTACAGGAGGCTATTAAAGTGTTAGGGTAAAATTTGTGTATGAGAGTAATAAATACTGCTACAGGATAGTTTATGATTAAACTTCCAATGAATAGAGGCTCTATGACGATATAAGCGCAGTCAATGTTACATTAAAAACACTTTTATGTTCTAAAGATTCTATAAAATGCTGCATGTGTGTTTTTTCCTCATCAATTGACAAAAGTAAATAGAGAACTACATTTTTGGAACAAATGAAAACAAATTTACAGGTGTTTTTTTCTTACTAATTCAATTTTCCTTCACTAAGTTATTAATTTAACAAACTACTTTAACAAATAGTTTAACAAATAATGTAACAAATAGTTTCCTAGGAGAAAAAATAGGAGAGAACAGTAGCAGATCATGGTAAGAAAATTTCAACATTTTTTTAGTGTGTGGCAGTTGAAGTGATCTAATGTCATGAAACCAGAGAGCAAAACAACTTGCAAGCCTTATTTGGTTATTGTTATTTAAAGTAGACACTATGGGAAAGCAGATAAAAGATGGCACTTTTGCGTAGGACAGAAATGTGCTTTAGAACAATTTTGCTTGAATAATCCATATACAGCCATCTGTCAATTATTATTGCGAAGAGTAATACAAGTATTATACTGATTTTAGTAAAGAAACTAACTTTGCTCGTCTTCGAATTGAATTTAGTGTCTCACATTTTTATTTTCATCAATTCTTGCTTACCTTTGCCTACCTTTGTGCCTGATTTGTCATTATTGTCTGTAGTAGGCTATTCTGAGTACACACCTGCTGTTGATTGCTAAATGCAATTTGGACTTTCAGGAGGAATTCATCAAGCAAATTATTAAATGTTGACTTAATAGTTAAATAATTTAGTGTAAATCTAAATTTGGAATATATTTTATTAGCTGTTGTAAACTGTTCAGCAATCAAAATTATGATACTTTTATTGTTTTATAATAAACTTATTTTTATCTATGTTTGCATTTCTCTTCTTTAATCATTATATATGATGCCTGTACTTATTATTTACAGAGATTAATCCAACAGCCCCTGTAGAAAAGCCTTATCTTACAAATCAACCAGGAGACACCCATCAAAATGTGGTTGTTACTGAAGCAGGTAATTAGTTCAGCTGTTAAATCCTCTATCAAGAACAGAACTGCACTTTATTTATTTATTTCTTATACTAAATTTATTTATTTATGTTTATTTTATTTTATCAATATACAATATAGTTGATTTTCATGTCCCTTTACTGATTCCTCCCTCCCCCCTCCCTTTCCCTCCTTCCACCCACCAACATCATATCTGTCCACTTGTCTTAACAAGTTCAAGGAATTGTGATTGTTGTGATATACAATATAGTTGATTTTCATGTCCCTTTACTGATTCCTCCCTCCCCCCTCCCTTTCCCCCCTTCCACCCACCAACATCATATCTGTCCACTTGTCTTAACAAGTTCAAGGAATTGTGATTGTTGTATCTTCTTCCCCACCCACCTCTGTTTGTTTGTGTATTTATTTATTTATTTTTAGCTCCCCAAAATAAGTGAGAACATGTGGTAATTCTCTCTCTGTGCCTGACTTATTTCACTTAATATAATTTTTTCTAAGTCCATCCATGCTGCTGTGAATGGTAGTATTTCATTCCTTTTTATAGTAGAGTAGAATTCCATTGTGTAGTTATACCACATTTTCCATATCCACTCATTTGGGAAATGTAAATCAAAACCACACTGAGATACCATCTCACTCCAGTTAGGATGGCTAATATTGAAAAGATTGAGAGTAATAAATGCTGGCGAGGTGTAGAGAAAAAGGAACCCTCCTACACTGTTGGGGGGACTGCAAAATGGTGCAGCCTTTATGGAAAATGGTTTGGAGTTTCCTCAAACAATTACAGATAGATCTACCATATGACCCAGCTATTCCCCTGCTGGGAATATACCCAGAGGAATAGAAATCATCATGCTGAGAGGATACCTGTATTCCAGTGTTTATTGCAGCACTATTTACAATAGCTTTGGAGAATAGAGAAAGGGGAGGATGAACAACCACAAGCAGTAGCCCAGTACCGTCTTCGCTGTCCATGCTTCAGTCCCAGTATACTGAGTACCCATTATGATAAACTCCATCCATCCATTCTCTTTGCTAAGAATTGAAGTTGAAGTGGGAGGAATGACGTGTACTCAACTATACCCCCAAGATGCAATCTGACAAAAGCAATGAGATAAATGCTCTGTGTCTTCTGAGCAGGGAAGAGCAGAAAACTCTAAATCTGAAAGTGCCCATAGAAATCGTCACATTCAACTCTCTTAGTGTATAATGTGGAGACCACAGCCCAGAGGAAATGACTTGCTCAAAGCTACTCACCAAGTTAGCAGGAAAACTAAGGTTGGGTTAAAAGAACTTTAGAGCCAAAATAGATTGCTTAGTTTGATTTCTCCTCCCTTTGCTCAGAAGGGAGGGCAGCTCAGAGAGGGGAAGGGACTAGTATCATACCTAGTCATTTATCTGGCAGCAAAACTGACATTTGAGCAGAAATCTCTTGACTTAGTTAGGCTGAAACATGTGTTACGTTGAAAAAGGACCAGTGTTCATTTGCTCAGGTGAAGGTTATCTTGGGTTTCGCGTTGTCTTTGAATTACCAGCCCATTCCAGTACTTCCTCTAACCAGTCACTACACCCTCTTTCCAGACTTTGCAAGGCACCTTGAGTTCTGGGTAAAACCTGACTGCTTATCCATCCCTTTCTCTTGCAACCCGGTGCAATCCTTTGTGGTCACACTGTTCACTTTCCTGGAACTACCATTTTCACTGCGCCCAGCCCCAGTTGGAAGCCCAATCCCACTGCTCAGGTTTGGGCTGCTCTGCCGCTATTCCCAAGCAGTGCTGGAGCAGGCAGCTGAAGCCAGATCCCAGGCGCCAAGAAGACGAGGTTCTTGGACGCCTTNAAGAGTTGGAACCAGAATTGCACTTTAAACACTGCTTCATGTTGACTCCAGTGAAACTCTCCTTGTTGCTTGGGGAAGTGGTGCACTAAATACAGGTTATGGGAGTTTACTTTTGGAGTTGGTTAGAATAAATTATGCTAAGATAGTTTTTGAATAGAAGAACTGTTTTGTTTTCTTCAGGGTTTCACTTCAAGTGGATGTATCTGGTACTAAACTAAGTGATCACATTAAAACCTGGCTCTATAAGGAACTTCTCCACAATGTGTAGGCGATAATGTAAATTGGCACATTCAGTAGTCTGCAAACAGTGGTGTGATTGTTAATGTTTAGGGACTAGCTGAAATGGAGGTGGGGTATAAAATAAAAAGACCAATTTGTAGCCTTTGCTGCTTTCCGTGGTGTAAATACTCCTATTTTGGCCAAGTTCAAGCTACCAAGGTGACATCACTGAACAGCAGGTAGGGTAGAGATGCATGCAATAAGCTCTCAACCCAGCTGCCTCCAGCACACCACTGCCTGCAAAGGAAACAAAATACAGTTCCCAGTGCACATTGCATGGTGGTCAGAAACTACTCTCAATGTCAGTTAGGGGCTCTTTTTAGCACAGCCCTATGCCAATTGGACAGAAATGTTTATTTATCTTAGTGGCTTTGTGAAAATTGAGCCAAAGACTCAAAAACCTTTCCATAGATGATCTAAAATTCATGAAAGAGTAGGAAGTACTTTCTCTTTTTCTTTACTATTATATATTAAGGATCATAATGGCATTTTGAAGAGAAAGGAAATATTTCCTGAATTCTTTTACAGTGCTTGGTCATCTGTTGAAGGCTCAAAAGAATAGGTGAAAGCATAGCAAATTATTCCTAAAATACCCCATCAATGGACCTCATTAATGTGTCTTCTCCTGTTAACAAATGAAGTGTTGTGCAAGTGAGTGGATATGTCCAGTCCACTTTGACCAGAATTATTTAGATTAGTTATGATGGCAACGTTCAATTTGCAAGCTAAATGCATAGTCCTTCAATTTGCTTTACTTGTATAGGTGTGATTTTAAGACTTAGTGCTTTTCACTTTTCAGATGCCTGATTTTAAAATCATTCAGAACATATAAACCTAATTAAAGACATCAGAAAATAATTATATTAGGAATATTTTCCCATTTTTGACATTGAAAAAAGTTTAATAAAGTCATCTTAAGCTGTATGGGACTTCAGTGCAGCAGTTTTGTATTTTACTGAGAATACCTAACATTACCAAGTGTGATGGAACAGGATTAAAAAATGATTCATTTTAGAATTAAATTAAGATCAAGTCTTTGTGCCTCTGGAGTCTTGTGTCTCTGGGTTATGACTGTGTTATCCGTTAATATTTACATAGTTCAATTTAATCACAGATATTCTTGCATATTATGGCTCTGAGTTTATTGGCTAGGAAAATTATTCAATAAGTCAACAATAATTTTAGAAATAATTATTCTTTAATAATTGGTGCTTGTTTCTCTAAGTAGTGAATCAGAATTATTAATAAACTGAAACAGTTAAGATTATTAATATATTTTGAAAACTATCCCATATCTGAATTACAGATTTGATAATAGTTTTAGAAGTATAGATGTTGAATTGGAGCATAACAACAGTGCAATTTGGTTTTGATTTTTACCAGAACATGAATATATTATTTCATTAGATTTTTCAGTATTTTGGGAAGAACCTTGTTGGGAATTTATGTATTGATAATCGTTCTGTTTTACCTTAGTTTTGTGGAAAATTCGTGTGTAGCTTTGGTGTTAGAATCCTTCCTCAACTATCTTTGTACACTAAGACTGTTTTACTTTTATAGGGTATTTCATTAGATTTTTCAGTATTTTGGGAAGAACCTTGTTGGGAATTTATGTATTGATAATAGTTCTGTTTTACCTTAGTTTTGTGGAAAATTCCTGTGTAGCTTTGGTGTTAGAATCCTTCCTCAACTATCTTTGTACACTAAGACTGTTTTACTTTTGTAGGCATAATTCCAAATCTAATTTATGTTGTTATACCAACAATACCACTGCTCTTACTGATACTGGTTGCCTTTGGAACCTGCTGTTTCCAGATGCTACATAAAAGGTAAATAATTTATATACATAGAGACAACTTGAAGAACTTTAAGTTTTCAGACCTTTTAAAGTATTAGTATATAATTAATAATATTTTTAAATTACCTTAAGAAAGTTCTGATTTTCATATCTGCCAGTACATACAATCTAAAAAGAAATTCTTGATTATAGGGTTCATGCAGTATCTCATTTAATCCCCACAAACCTTGTGAGCTAGGTACCCTTCTGTTTCTGTTTTCCAGTTGAGAAAATGGTGGCTTAGATGGTTTACTTAGTCTGTCTTGAGTCCCATAGCTACGATATATGGTGAATCTGAAATTGAATGCTTGTAGGCTTACAATATATGCATTATACTGTACAGTCTCTTGTTTATTAAGTATAGGAATTAATGGTAAACCTTTCAATCTTGTCATCAAGTTATATGCAAGACATGATTTTTGTCAGTACACTTTGTAGTACCTTTCCAAAATTCAAGTCATAAGCTTCTGTTTTATTTCAAAAGTATATTTTAAGAATAGGAATTAAGACACAGTGGTAAGAATAGGTCACTTTTTGGCAGGCATCTTGAAACAAAATGATATATCTTAACAGCAAGATTTCTGGGGATATTTTGACTTTTATATCTGCACACATAACCTTGAATTACAGAGGTGATGTTTTTCTATGTGTCAATTTGTCAATTAAATAAGAAAAATATGAAATATAAATATGTATCAAGAGAAAAAGGAAAAGATGTTCGGTTTAAATAAGAGCATCTTTGCTAGAATAAACTTAGACATCTTTGTCAGAGTGTAACTGTTACAAAATCACAGCTAGATACAACAAATAAGTTCTAGTGGTCTACAATAGTGTTAGCCATTTATAATTAACAATAATTTATTGTATTTTCTAAATTGGCTAGAAGAGAGGAGTTCAAATGCTCTCATCACAAAGAAATACAAATTTTTGCCATGGTGAATATGCTAGTTACCCTGATTTGATCATCACACATTTTATGCATGTATTGAAAGATAACTCTATACCCCACAAATGTGTATAATTAATAAGTGTCAAGCAAAAAAGAAATGATTAAAAAAATAAAACGATTTAGAGAATGCCTCCATCAGGGAAGGATCTACAAGTGAAATAACTTTTTCTTTTGACTTTATCTTCTCTTTTCCTGAAATAACCCCTAAAGAACCCACTAAATAATAAAAACCCCAGAAAAAAATTAAGTACATGTAATCTCTAAATGGTTTACATAAATTTTTAGAAGGATCCAACCTGTAATTAACTGGACGTTAAAATAAAACATTTCGAATAATGATAAATAAAGGCTGGCAAATTAATACTATACTTTGTGTCTTCCTGGCTTACTAATATATATGTGGAATGCAGTTAAAACTTGTTTTTCAGTATTTTGTACAGAATAAAGATATAGTAAATATGTAGCTTCTTGCTCTAATTCCTAAGACTGTAGATGGAAATATAATTTATCATTGTGAAAAACAGTGATGCAGAGGGAGAATTTCAGGTAAATCCCTCCTTAACCCAGCTAAAGTGTGAAGAAAGACCTGTAAGTAGCAAATCAGCTTGAAGTAATTATTTGAAAAAAATATTTGGACATTCTCATTTGTGAAGTGAAAAATACTAAAGTACCAAGTAACTGAGTTTTTTCTAAAGTTTGTTTTCCTTGTTCCCAAGAGTATGTTATTGTGGCGATTCCATTCATTCAAAGTCTCCCAAGTTTTTACAGCATCTGTGGAGATTTCACTTGTTTGAAATTCTGAGTGAGAAAATAAACTAAAATAAAGCACCTCCAGATGCTGGAATTAGCTGTAGCACTTAATTGATTCGTTCTTAGATCCTCCCCTTTTCCTTTCTTCCAGGAAAGCAAGGAGAAACTCCATCAAAGACTCACCTCCATTATCATCTGAGTGCCTTGCAGAAAGTTTAAATTCCAATCTGGTACACATGATGGTTTCTGTCATTCCATGTCATGTTCAAAATAACTCTTGTTTCTTTAACTTGTAGTAATTCTTAAAGAAAATACTAATTCTACACAAAACCCACATTAATAACTTAACCACTTTTTTTTTTTTTTACCATTTTAAAAATTGTACTTTTAATAAGCTTTGCTTGACTTGTTTCCATTGCTGTTAGGTGACTTTGTAGAATAAAGTTGTGTTGATCTTACTTATTTGGATGAAAATTGACAAAACATATAATTTGGACACAACATTTTATTAGTGACAAAAAAGTTAAAGTGAACTAAATAATATTTTAAAATTGTAATGGTCAGGTGTGTTGAGAAATAGTGTCTGTCTCTCTTTGAAGGAGTTCTGCAATGTCTGGTGGATGGAGGGGACGGGATGGGGAGAAAGCATGCCTGTGGGATTGGGGCAGATGCTGGGGGTGGGGGTTGGAGGGACAGGGGAGGAAATGAAGAACACAGTGAATAGGGACAGGTAAAGAACAATGATCTAGATGAGAGATCATCATCGGGAAACTAGAGCAAAGAAATCTAGATCTTGACAAGTGATCTGGTAGAGGATGATTTACGTAAACTGAGGAATAGATACTTCTGCAGGAGCCTGAAAAGGGACCATTTTATGAAAGACGGAAGACAGCAGAAGCCCATGCATGGGCTGGAATGCAAACCAGAATTTCAAATCTGACAAGAATGAAGTTCTGTCTCAGACCTGGAAGAACTCAGATACTCCCAAATTACCAAAGCCTGAATCTGCTATTGAAGTACATTGGTTTCAAAGACTGAGGCACATCTTACACTTCGTACAATAGCGCTGTTTTGATGATTTGACATTAAATTCAGCATATATTAGTGGCAGGATACTCAAACAGCAAGATTTCAAAAATCATTAATCAAAGAAAATGAAGGTTTATTGGTGCATTAAATGGAAATTTTTAGGATTGGGTCAGACATGTTTTTGTATGTGTGTATCTATCTGAACTCTAAATTATGAAGGTTCAGAGAAAGATATATTTTGTTTTTTCATCATTCATAAGAACTGTTGGCCATCTTCACACATTGGAATAATATAGCATTTTTTGTAGGAATGGAAAAATATGCTGGTGAGAGAAGAAAGGATCCTTGTATAAATAAAGGTCTGAGATATCTCCACTTGGACCAAGGCATACCTAGATTGATAAGAAGTTTCAGGCACTGATGTATTTCTTCTTATGTTTTTCAGTAAAGGAAGAACTAAAACTAGCCCAAACCAGTCCACACTATGGATTTCAAAGAGCACCAGAAAGGAAAGTGGCATGGAAGTATAGTAATTCATTGACTTGGCTCCAGAAAAGAAAATAGAATTTTATAACTCTGGATCTGTATGGCATCAGAACATTAGCTTGGAATGGCTTGAAATCTCAAAGGATCTGCAAGATGAACTGTAAGCTTCCCCCTGAGGCAAATATTAAAATGATTTTGTATGTTCATTATTTCATTTACAAAATATGCTGTGCTAATTATGGAGGGAGACATGCTTATTTTGCTAGAGGACGCACCCAAAATTCAAGTAAATGGAATGGACCGTGCACATAAAATTGCTATCAACACATAACGAGTATGTGTGTTGGAAGCAATTATTTTTATTTCTTTCACTTTTCATAAGCTGTAATCTAGTTAATGTAATGTAAATTGTATTGAAACTTACAGTGTGCAAAAATATTTTACCTTTGCGTGTTTGATAAAAATGAACTGTTCTAATATTTATTTTTATGGCGTTTCATTTTTCAATACATGCTTTTTCGATTAAAGAAATTTATCACTGTTGTCAACTGAATTTACACACATACAAATATATTACCACAGAAAAAAAAAGTTCTAGAAATAGTTCATCTTCTTTCCATTTCTCTGCTTTTGGTTGAACAATGTTTAGGAAATCTCTTCAGAAATAAGAAGCTATTTCATTAAGCGTGGTATAAATCTCAAACATTTTACTTAGAGGCAAGAATTGTCTAATTTCAATTGCGTAAGACATGTGCCTTACAATTATTTTAGTTTAAAATTCATCAGATTTTGTAATAAGATACCTTTATTAATAGCTGTATGAATAGTAACGCATTCAATCTAAAACAACAAAAAAGTGGCATACACAATATAAATCATATGTCTTCACATGTTGCCTATAGGATTACAAGTAGCTCTCTGAGGGTTCTGGAATCAATGTGGTCCCTCCCTTGCCCACAAAACAAAGATGGTTGTTTGAGGTTTGGGATTGACACTGGAGGCAGATTGTTGCAGACATTATCTAAGGTATCCCTAGCTGTATTTAGCCTCTATTTGATTATAAAGAGGTTTTACTGTTGGGACCAGATAAATGAATGGTCACCATCAGTGTGGAGCTAAGCACAGTACAGTGACATTTAGGAAGGAAAAAATGCTATGTGTGAAATGGGTTGGAGGTCATCAGTGATTACATATTTATTGATGAGGGTTGGCTCGAAATAGAAAATGGTGGCTTTCTGTCTTATCTCTTCCTAGTTTCTACAATGCTTAAGTCTTGTTCTCTCTTTCAGTCTTGTTCTTCTCGAGAGAGTTGTAACTACCTGGCCTTCAAATGTCCCTGTGCTCCTTTTAACCAAATAAAGAGAGTTCTTGTTTCTGAAGAAAGACCATGGTGTTGTCTATGCCTCTTAGGTGAACAAAATACAGATATGTTTGCATCAGTACAAGAATATGAGAACAAATTACTAAGTGTGGTAAGAATGGGAATTGTGGTTATAGAGTGAACAGTAAACCTAATATTTTTCCTGTCTATCCTTTTCAATTGGATAATAAAGTGCTTTCATTAATGCAATTCACAACTAGAGTTGTCTGACAAAATTAAGAGGCAAAATAGAAATTAGTGGGCATCGGTCCCTTTTCAGCTGCTTAGAGACTGAGAGAATGGACAGCTGCAATCTAAGCTTAGATCTGCCCGCATTCAACACTCCTCTTTTCTTGGCTACCCATCTTTCTGGGTAGAACGGGAGACCAGCTGCTACGATCTACCTCTTCCCTCTAAGTAGCTACCATGCATTTCTTCTTTTAGTTAAGACTTGATGGAGGGAAACTAGGCTTTTCCCTTTGTGTCACCCAGGACTATAACAGCTGCAAGGCAAAAGCAACAAAGTGATGCAGGAAGGCTTTGATTTTGCCTTTTATCTTTATCCAGGTCTGAATAACTCTTCTGGTATTAATGACTAAACCCATAAGTGACTAGGGGTAGGATAAAGAACTTCCCTCTTATTAGAAGATGGTAGTGATGATGTCCTAAGAGTTTCTTAAAATTTTAGCTGACCTTTGAAAAATGAAAAGGGTTCATGGTGTATCTGTTGTGTTTGTATTTTTAGAACATACTTTTAACATGTGTTTGGAAATGCAAACGAATGTGGAACAACCTTCAGGTACTAAAAACAAACATCCTACTCTCCATCCTTCCTGTTAGGATCAGGCCATTGAAAAGGCCTAAAAAGAATAGTTTGTTCGAGGGGCTCCTGGTTTTAGCCCTAACAGTAAATTTTACCAGGAATTTGTAGTTTTCCATCATCTGGCCACACCTCTTTTATATAACATTTTTTCCTCGAGAGAAAGAGACTTTTGGTACGACAATGCATGATTCTCTACTGACCCCCACCCCCTGAACTTTCAGATCATTCCCACCTGCAGAGTAGTCCCCAATACCCACTTCAATTCATCAATAATAATTATTCCTTCCAGGTGTAGCTGAAGTCTCCTTTCTTCCATAAGGCCAATCCATATTGATTGATCTCTTCTTTTGACTCCTCACCTGCAGAGTAGTCCCCAATACCCACTTCAATTCATCAATAATAATTATTCCTTCCAGGTTTAGCTGAAGTCTCCTTTCTTCCATAAGGCCAATCCATATTGATTGATCTCTTCTTTTGACTCCTTAAACTTTACTTTGTCTTCTTTTGTACTGGCCCATGCAAGAATATGTGTGTGTGTGTTTTGTGTTGAGTAGGTATGAATTTTGTCTCCCCAAATAAATCCACAGAATCTGTGTGGTAAGCTAAACTGAAGTTTGCACTTACTCTGGAAATGATCCGAGAAATTAAAGAAGTGAAGCAAATTCATTTGTTACACATTTTTGGCCTTCTAAGGGGCAATTCAGTTGTGTCTAAATAAGTTTTCCACATTAGAAATATCTACAGTAACCCACACAAACCAAGACCAACATTTGTAGTAGTTGCATTTCTTTGATGTGTCTGATTATTTTTTGGAGACATATATATACTAGTTTAAAATAAATGGACAGTGTGAATAATCCAGAAAAAAATGATCTGATATAGAAAGACCATACTGGTTAATGTACCTTTTATTTTGCTACTTGGGTGATATACATATAGACTTGCGCCAATTTGCAATTTTAGTTAGCTTATTTAAGAGGAATGTGAAATCAGTTTAGTCCAGGTCTGTGACATGAGCTTACAATAAATATTTTTCTTTATAAGTGGGGAAAATTAAGAATATGCTGAAGTGGAAATGGAAATACCTTTGGGTAGAAAAGCAGGAAAACTATTGAGATTCTGGTAATAGCAAACTAAACTGAAACTAGACAATTTATAGCAGTTTATTTCAAATAATGACATACATCAGGCAAAACAATTCATTTCACTTATTTTTAATTTTGCTCAAGCCTTTGAAGTATACAGTATGTACTTTAAAATAGCATCCATTTAAATAACTGAAAATGATAAAAATAATGATTAAGGACCAAGAAAATGAATGATGATATCTGTGAAAGAACAGCTGCTCACAATGAAATCAAAATGTATTTTAAAGTTTTCATGTTGCAAAGATTAATTTGTTTTGTTTTGTTCCTCCTTCTCCAGCATTTCAGTGGCTTTGGTAAGAATAAAGGTTTTTAATAACTGGTTTTTTTTTTTTTTTTTGCAAAACTCTCAATTTTCATGCTCCTTTGAGTAGAATGGCAAAACTGCCCAACTTTCATGTTTGGTTTGAGAAATGCTCTAATGTAGAAAACTCTGTATCCATTCTGTGAACCTTGGGACCCGGGCATACACCCCTGGGCGATTAGGCAGTGCACACTGGTATCCGAATGAGGTCACTCCAACAAGGAACCACCTGTTGTCTTCTTGGCACATTAGCGGTCCTCCTGAATCCCCCTAAACAGTGAATCACACAAAAAAATTGTAGATATGGGGTCAATTGACATAAATATATGAGATTGTTTTTAACAAATCAGTTCAAAAAATAAAGATTCAAAAATATGATTTAATTGCTACTTACATGTATACGTTCTCACTGTCATTCTAGGTTGTAAGTGAGAGCCTTTTGCTCTTAAGTAAGGAGACAGAGAAACTATGACAACTAAAACATAATTTATAATTTTTTATGATGTACTTTTATAGCAGGAGTTTCCTCACTTTAATTGTGGCATTAACACCTACTAAATTTAAAGAAATTTTCTAAAGCACAACTGTGTAAAGCATCCCAATCAAAATATATATTAAGAGCCAATCATTTTCTTAAAGGAGATTGCTCTAAGTATCATGACTTTGTGGAAAAACCAAATTATCCCAAAGTATGGTCTTCAGAAAAATTAAGAATGCATACATTAATTTTATTTTAGTTCTCCTGGGTAGCAATATCTTTTTGGCACTCAAAAATACCATTAGATGTGAAAAACTTATTTTGACTGAAATAGGCAAATCTATGATATAATTTCTAATGATAGGAACACAGGTTTTCATCTGAGATTTCAAATACGAGGGTACTTAAAAACTTATGTGGAAAAATAGAATTAAAAAATAATACAAATCTTTCCGTGAACTATTTGAAGACCCCTTCTAATGAAATAATGTTTTTAATTTTCATAAATGTTAATCACAGCAGATCCTAGTAGTTATTTACATAGATTTTATTTACACATGATTCTTGTGTAATGCAAATGAGATAATGCAGACATATAGTATCATTATTTAATGACATTAATTGATAAGTACTTTTCCTGTATTAATTGTGCAAAAATTTTTAATTAATCTCTTTTTACATTTATGAAGGAATTTAAAGCTTTCTGTTCTTTGAAATCACTGGTATAACAACGTTTCAATTCCAGCTCAAGGTTAGAAAATATCTTGAGAGACTTTTTACCTGATTCTTTGTCTTCTTTGGGCCCTACATACAAGGGAAAAAAATGTGATCTACCATAGCACCTTTTCTTCTCTTGGGTACAGAGGAAGATAAATTGCATTGACAATCACAAGTGATGGATATTTTAGAAGTAACAAATGTGTCCATCTTTGAAGGTAGGGACTAAGATTTTTATTTCTGTATCCTAAGCCCTTAGACTGTAATAAGGGCTCAGAAATGTTTATAGAAGAATATATATCCAAGGCACAAAATGCATTATATATGATTTAAAAATTATTAAAAAATTAATTTCAACTGCTTGTATGTATTTTAAAGGAGTCATTTAGTTTTATTTATATTTTAAAAAATAATTAATTTTTTTAATAGACAATAGAATCCAGACATTGACAATATGAAAAAGGATTTTAACTTAGCCAGCACATACTGGGTCAGTTGCAGTAGCTCAGGACCATGCAGCAGGCTAGTTTCCCATCTGTTGGGTGGTCTCTCTGGTTGGGAGACCTTGGTCTGTTTCAACCACTTCTCATCATCAAACTACATTTTAGTATAGTTATATAACTTCTCCTTGTCTTAATTTTCTGATTTGTTCAATGAAGATATTTCCTTTCACTATCTCAGAAATGTGTAAGTACTTCAAACAGATGAATGAATGCCCAGAATATAAAGTATTGACTTAAAATTTATGTTTCCACTTAGATATGATATATTTATAAGTCAAAACAAAAATCTCTACCTTCTTTGAGTATCTGAGTGTAGGGGTTGGTAACCATTTTTGTTTAGAACAGTGGTCCTTAAACTTTAGCATGCATCAGAATGACCTGAAGGGCATGATAAAATGCACATTGCTAGGTCCCACCTTCAGTGTTTCTGTTTCAGCAGGTGAGTAATGGAGCCTGAGAATGTGCATTTCTAAAAAGTTCTCACGTGATGCTGATCTGCTGGACTGGAGGCCACACTTTGAAAACCACTGGTAGAGAATATGACTCTGAATGGTTAGTAGAGTGACAATTCACTTAGTTTTATTTAGAGAAGATATTCTCTAGCCATTGATGTTGCCTTTAAATACAGAGAACTGACTTAAAAACACAACAAGCCTTTGGCTAGCCAGAATATATTCAAGAATGTGTGAATGACTAATAAAGCAAACTCTTTGCCACTCTAAGGCTAAATGATAATGCTTCAAAGAATTAATTAAGTAATGTATCGTTAATAACTGTTCACAATTAAAAATAATGCATTTTTATTTAATCAAGTAATTCTCATAAAACAGTATAAAGTTGAACAAAAAATCATGTGACAATCTATAGTATTGATTATGCAATTATGATTAAATTATATTACTTAAGGTATTGCCTTGTGTGGGAGCTTTCTTACTTGCTAATAAGTAGCATACTTAGAGTCTGTAGAAATCAGATCCAACTATAAGATTTCGGAGATCTGGCATGAGTTATTGGCTTAATGCAACCTTAACATCAATATCATGAGCCAGCATATTTTTCTGCCTAGTGCGTGAAGCGTCTGCCCCACAATCCCTATTAACTGTAATTGAAGTTGTATAGATGATTTCCCTCCTGCACAATAATTCTATAAATCTTCTCCTAATTGGCAATATATCTTTCCTTTAGCACACTTTTCATTTTAAAAGGGAAGTGTAAGATCCAGAGATAAATTTTAAACAAGAAGAAAGCTATCCAACTTGTCTTGAATTTGGAAGTGTTTATCAAAGCAGAGTAAACGTAAAACTAAGCTGAAAGTTTAACATGACTAGAGACATTGATTTACCAAAGGATACATATACAGAGTTATCTGCATAAGTTTCTGTTGAAAAAGTAGCATCAAATTACTATAACATCTGTGTTAATATACAGAACAAGTTGTTACACTTTAACACAGTGAAACCATTTTTCCATGGTATAAATTGTTTTTGCATTTGTGAATTATTCATTTGGTCAGTAATGCTATCAGGTTTAATCTAATTAGCAGACGTTAATGCATTAATATTTTATTAATTTCCAAATACAGGAAACATGCCAACTTATTTACTAAGTCTCATAATAAAAACAATATTTTGGAGTGCTTATTTGGTGCTTTACATGTTTTAACTCATTTAAGCCTCTCAATAAAACCCAAGTGACTTGCCCAAGGTCTCACCAATAAGTGTTAAAGCTGGGGTCAAACAAGAGTGGTCTGAACACAGAATCCATGCTCTTCATGACAACCCCATGCTGCATCTAAAAATTAATTACAATTCTAAAATCTAGCAGAGCTTACTTTTTATTTTTTGAGTGTATGTGTATTTCATGGAGCTAATAGCTGACTACATTATTTCTAGGTTGTAAGATGTTATTTCAATGACGGCAGTATGTGTAAGAGTCTTTTCTGATGGTCATGCAGGACAAAAGCTATACGTTTCAAATTTATTGCAGGAGTGAAATTACCCATGCAGCAAGTTCATGTTATTACATCTCTAAAATAAAATGTAAAAGATAACATGAAAATTTTAGTATAGAAGTTCCAGAGCCAGGGTTATGCCAGGCTACCAAGTAAGTTCTTTATTTACTTACCACTTGGTTAGCTGTAAACTGGCTCTACTTAGGCTATCCAGGTTGTTTTTCACCTCACTGGCTCTACTTAGGCTATCCGGGTTGTTTTTCACCTAGAAATTATTTCAGGTTACTAGATTCCTGGACCATACTCTAAATTCAAAGTTGAAATTTAGAATCCCATAGCTCAAACTGGCCCTCCTCATGCCTGTTTTGTTTAAGTTTCTAGAAGGTTTAAAAGGATTGAAAATTTGAAAGTGAATGCTTTTGACTAAGGTGAACATCTCTGGCTCAACCCAGGTCCACTACTCCTATTTTACCTGGCTGCTGCACACATTCAAATATGCCTAAAGACATCTGATTTGTAATTCTTGTTCTTAAAAATTAGTTTTGTCTCTAATGATGAAGTCCACTCAGGAGCACTATGCAAATAGGCAAAAAGTAACAGTTTTATAGAAGAAGAGGTGAAATTAATGGGCCTTGATAATTTCTTTATTCCCAAATTATTGTTAAACAATGAAATCATTATATAGCAATGCTGTATAATGTAGAGTGAGCAGTTCTACGTATTTACCTGACAAGTATCTATTCCTCCTTCTTCGTAGCCTGCACATATCATATTTTCAGTAATATTATATTCTGGCATCTGTTGTTGACATTTCTCATTTGACAGAAGAGGAACATCAGCTTCTTGCAGAATGTCTGCAGTAGGACCTGCTCAAAATGGATAATGTGACCAGCCAGACAGAGTGTTCAACATGCATTCTTGAATGAACCACTATCAGTCTTATTTATTCCAACATACCACTGTCATTATCAAGTACTGTGTGTATATGTAATGGAACTGAATACTAATCTGGGCACTTTAAAGCACATAATAAAGCCCAACTGTGGATTCTGCCAGATGGATAACAGTAAAGCATTCTTTCCCAAGGGCTAGTAGGAGTGGTGTATTGGGCTAGGTGGTCATTAGGCATCTTCAGTAATTTTAAACAGTTACAGTAAAATGCCCACCAACACAAAAAGTTTCATTCATGGAAATGAATGAAATCAGAAGTCCTTTTCATTTGGCACCTGAGAAGGCGCTTCTTCTGCTGGGTGTAACGGCATTCAGCTTCTTTGTGGTGCTATGTGAATGAGCAGGTGCACTCTGAGCAGAGGACAAAGCGCAAATGTGTCTTGATCTAGGGGCAATCAGCTTGTCATCTGCACGCAGGTGAAGAAAAAGGAGGCATTTTTTTAGCAGAGTGTATTTCCATTCTTTTTATAAAATGACTCATTCACTGGAAGTATGAATCCTTGTTTAATGAAATACTAATCCCAAGAGATGTGAAACAAGCATTTTTTAGCAGAGTGTATTTCCATTCTTTTTATAAAATGACTAATTCACTGGAAGTATGAATCCTTGTTTAATGAAATACTAATCCCAAGAGATGTGAAACAAGCAGGTGTCTAGTGCCCCAGGAAAGGTACATGATAGGTACTTTCTCATAATTAACAATTCTATTTGGTTCCTCAAGAGAGGCAGAAGGTTGAGGATAAGTTAGTACATTTGACAGCCAGTGTTGTTGCATGTGACATCATTTCCAGCTAAGTTTAATCCATGCACTAATAAAACTGAGGAAACAAGTGTGTGTGTGTGTGTTTGTGTATGTGTAATTTAAGTGCAAGACAGCATATGTATATGACTCAGTGGTATGTTGGTAAATGTGTACCAATTGGCTGTCCAGAAAAAAAAGCCCCAATGTGTCTTCTTCACATTTGCCTGGTGTAAACACTCTCACCATGGCCAACTTCAGGATACCAGCGTGACAGTGAGCATGGAGATGGGAGAAGATATGCACAAATAGTTATTTCCAGCTGGTGCCAGAAATCCAACAGCATAGCAGTGGATGACTTTCGAAGTTTGAAAATGGACTTTAAGTCAAGAAAATGAATTGAAGAGGTTGAAAAGAAGAAAGCACACCATGTTAGTGTCATCCATCCCATGAAAATCAAGGAGGAGCTGGTAGACTTTAGTTTTATAATGAAAACCAAAGCCACTTTTGCTGCTTGTTAAAGAATAAAATGTTTGTTGGGGCAGATGATAAAACTCTGGTAAAGGAAAATTTGAGTAGTGTCCTTACATTTAATATTGATTGTCAATGTGAGTTGCTACAAGGATAATTGAGACTACACACACACACGCACACCCATACACAAACATACATAATAATTCCATAAAAGTTATTTTGTATAATAATTGCCTTATTTTAACCAACTAATATCATCCCATTTCTCCCTAGTGAACAATATGTTCATGGCTTTCCCAGTTAATTAATTAGTATGATATACTCAAAAGATGTAAGTTGTATTTTATGAAATTAAGTACATGGAAATCATAAGGCAAAGTTTATTAAATTCATTGAAATTGCCATCACCCAAGAAGTGTTTAAACATGGCCTGGATCTTTACTCCTAAATGAAATTGATCTCAGGTACAGTTTTTTTTCCTGGATCCATACTACTCTTAGAGACTTTCTTAAGTTAATTAAACATGTATCTTTAGTAACAATAAGTAAATGTGAGTCAAGTTTACTCAGCTCTAAAAAAACAAACAAAAAACCAAAATTTCTTATGGAATAAAGAGTCTTAAATTTTGTTAGTGGATAATTTGTTTTTGAAGAGTCTATATTATGGTCATAAAATATTTTTTAGTTTGAAGTCTGAAAGACAAAATATCTATCTAGGAATCATTTTTACTCTTTAAATTTCAAATTTAATAAATCATGACATTTTTCAAGTGGAGAAATTATAAGAAAATACAGTCTTTGACTTCAGTACACTTTGCAGGCAGCAGACATGAGGCATTTTCAGCAGTGTAATGTAATTGCTGTGGAGAACCCTTGTCGGAATCATCAGGCAAGCATTTGACTTAGAACTCTCTCTCATAAAGAAGTAAGGATATTCTAGCTGTGAGTTCTTCGATACAGAGACCCTACACCTTGCCACAAGAATTTGTTCATTTTCATATTAAATATAATTATGTAAGGATATTCTAGCTGTGAGTTCTTTGATACAGAGACCCTACACCTTGCCACAAGAATTTGTTCATTTTCATATTAAATATAATTATGACCTTTCAACATCATATCTAATTTATTGTGACTACAGAGGTCAGGTCCTCCTACCAAACTACAGTGCCTTTCCTTTTTTCTTAATTATTAATGAGTGGTCAAAACTATGTCCTAGATGGGGTACTCCTATTAGGAATTCTATAACAAATGGGCCTTGTGATTACATTTAGAGGGTATGAAGTACTAAAAAATACTTTAAAAAAAATCATGTTTGGTTATTTTTGATATGCATCATTTTTGTGTTTGGAAAACATCCTTTTAAATAATCTGAGGGAGTCAATGGAATATAAATTTATAGTCCTCAGTGTAAGACTCATGCCATACCTGAGTCTTGTCAATAGGCAAAATGTGAGTGTGAGGCCTTTACATTATAAATAAAGATAGTTTTGTTGATTTGGAAACTATAACAGGTAAAAATTTGACTTTTAATAAGACTTTATCTATGTTCTTTACAAAAATAAATTTTTGTAAATTTTGGTTATATTCATTTTATTTTTTTGTCTTTTGTCTTTTTTCCGTGTCCGGCAACGGATCGCAACCCTCAGTGTTGCCCCCGTACCGGACCGGGGAC